CATGTAGGAAGTGAATTTGAATTGTTCACACACCGCCGACAGAACAAAGCTGATAGTTTTCTCCTGCACCTGCCAATTGTCCATTCAGGAAACATGCTGTACAGAGTTTATTTTATAATCTGATTACATGTTGTTTTCGAACGTTGAATAACTTCTTCCTCTATTTCACTTTGTTTCATAACGTTCACAGTTCGTTTTACATCCACCACTGAAAGCAGAGTCTGATGAGAAACACAGCGCACTAAACACTGATTATGATGATATGATTATGATGATGATATGATGATAGATTGATGATGATGTGATTGATGATGATGATGAAGACTGTTGGGGTTCAGTCCGACGTTACCAACAGATAATAAGAGCTTCAGTCTGAAAACTAGAATCTGACCTGAAGAGTCAGAAAGCATCATCCAAATCACATGATACACCTGAACCTTTGGGACTTGAGCCCCTCCACACTGAGGGTCACAGATCTGAGGCGGCGCCAGAGTCCGTCAGCGGCTTTGATTCTTGTTGAAACCCCAAAAGGCTCCTGGGAAAATTCAATCTTCCAGCTGACTGAAATTATAATCTGCACGCTACGAATTCATTTCATGTCACTCCTCACTGTGATCTGCACTGAGGGGGGGGGGGGAGGGGGGGCTGCCTCTCTCTTCGCTCTGGTTAAGCTCTTCCCAAGCCGGAGCCCGGCTCTCTGTTGCTATGCAACAACAGTAAAGTGTCTGTGTGAAAGTGTGACGCCCTGATTTAAAAGCCAGATGTTTCAAGGCTGGAACCAGGAAGGACCAGGAGGAGGAAGGAGGAGGACCAGGAGTGCGGACAGGAGGAGGAACCAGAGTGAGGACCAGGAGAGGACCAGGCAGGACCAGGGACCAGCCGAGGAGGGACCAGGAGGAGACCAGGAGACCAGGAAGGACCAGGTGCAAGGCAGACAGGAGAGGACCAGGAGGCAGAGACCAGGAGGACCAGGGTCGAGGTAGGACCAGGTAGAGACCAGGAGCGACCAGAGACAGCGACCAGCTGCGACAGCGACCAGCTGAAGGGACCAGTTCCAACAGGGGAGGACCAAGTTAAATTTATGGAGAATTGAGGGCGTGGCCTCTTTGAGCAGTGACAGGTGCGGAGCGAATGCTCACCACAAAACCAGCCTTTACGCCCTAGCTCCACAACAAGCCCCTCCTCTTTAACATATTTGATTAAACTGGGAGCTTAGGGGCGGAGTCAGAACACTTGCCAAGAATAGCCTCAGTAGAAACCTGTGTGGCCGACGTCATCTTGTTTACAGTCTGACACTTGTTTTAGGCAATAAGTAGCTTCCTAAGCGATTAGAGGACCCTTTGCTGTCTCATGGTGATGTGTGTTAGATGGTCAAAACTTGTCATGGGTAAAAGAAAACACCATAAACTACAGTTTCACAAGGGATTCAAACTGCCGCTATCGACGCACTTCTCCCTGAACTTCCTCCTGTCGCTCCTGTCGTGACTACAGCGCCACGCGACGGTAGACGCCCAACAAACAAC